AAAAAAACCCACAATGTAGCACTTGTCTAGCTTTGTTTGTTTCCTGAGATAATGAGGCTTTCTAGGTTGTATTTTGATTTTTATCTATTTATTTATTTTTAAAAAGGAACAGTTGAGAAATGACCACCAGCCTAATTTATTTTAGCAGTTAATGACTAGAAAAACGAAAAAACAACAGAAAGCATTTATAATATTTTTGAATGGGAAATATTAGGAGTCAGATATGTTATGAAACCAGCATCTCTCAGCTGTTAGTAGCATTGAAAGGTACTGCCGCACTGGCTTCAGCCTCAAGCCACGAGAGTTGCAACTTGGTTGGGTGAAACTTTTTTATATTTGCTTACTCTTGAAAATGAATTGCTGAAACAAGTAAAAGTGCAGCTAAAAAAAAAGAGGTCTTAGTTTGTTATGGTAGTAGTTCTGGATAAAAATGTTGTATATTGTGATTACGCTATGCTGTACACCGTATAAATGCAAAGTCATATCATTAATAAACTGCATGATAATATGCAGTTCTTAAAGGCACATTAATGCTTGCAGGGCTGCGAATCCTCTGTCTTCCCTTTACTTCTTCACTCGGTGGTTCCCACAGGTAGCATCTTCGTATATGTCCCCGCAGTAATGCATTTGAAAGTAACCTGCAGTAACCCCTACCCCACCCCACCACATCCTCCGCTGCTCTTTCCAGATAAATTGAGATGCTGCAACCTTCTCGGTGATCTTATTTCTCCCCTAGAGTTGCGGCCTACAGTGGAGCGAGCAGGGGAATGTCCTGAGATCACAGAGAGAGATTGAACCTGGCATCAGGCAGCCAAGAGGCTCCAAGGGACCGATTGGAAATCAGGTGCTTTCTCACAAAACGCTGCAACACATGTACACGCACATGTGCGCTTGCATGGAGAAATGCACTCTTTGTCTCTGTTTCTTGCACACACACACATACACACACACACACACACACACACACACACACACAGAGTGGCATCAGCCATCTATAGTCATTTATCTCACACCGGTAAATGTATCCATGTTCTGTGGGCCCCAATCTCCCTCCTCTGCCTTTCTATCTTCTCTCATACACACTCCCCAAAACAATCTCCTTCAATCACCACCTCTCTCCATTTCTCTCCCTCTCTCTCCCTCTTTATCTC